ACTTGTGACCACTCAGTGTATGTATATATATATATATATATATATATATGTATTTATGTATGTATGTATAAGTCACTGTTTGTAAAACTTCCATTGGTGGTAATGCTCCATTCGGTTTGTAATACTTCCTTTGTTGCTAATGCTTCACTCTGTTTGAACTGCTCTCTTTGTTGGTAATATTCAAACTCACTTAGGGGTTAGTCTCAAATGGAAGTCTTGCCTTCAAACTGCAATTGAGTTGGGACTTTATATAAAAAAAAATTAAATATTTATTGTCATATTTACAGCAAGCTCTTTCAATATTCAGAAAAATATGAATAACATTATAGATTAAATCAGGGGTCATATCATATTACATATAAACACCCATGTCTGTCTTTATCAACCCAATAGATGGTGCTACAATACATTATTGTTGATGTTTTTCACCTTAGATGAGAGATTTTTTTGAATTTATTTAAAATTTTATAACCATTTTTTATGAAAAGCTATACCTTCGTGCATTTGCCCTTCACCATTAAATTCTTTGCCATTACAATTAATAAATTGCAGTCAGAAATTTCACCATATAGAAATATTTTTTGAAGACAGCTTTTATATGTGGAAACATCTGCTAACAGAGTTCTTGCACAGATATTAAAATATAACGGTGATAAACGGAAACATTGGCACATGTAGATATGTTGATGTTCAAAACTTGGAAATAGCATTGGTAACTGGACCAATTGTCGGTTGAGATGTTGCAAAGGAAATATCTGCTGAAGCTTTTCGCCAGACACTAATCATAGCAGAACCATCTGGAAAATGATCTATAGGAAATAGTATAGCTTATAAAAAGGGGGCAGATCAACATAGGCTGGTACGGCAATCACTGATTTGCATGTCCTTAAGCCAATCAGGAAATGTCATAGACCTACTGAAAGATGTGTAGATTGTATAGGAATTCTTTTTGGCAGCAAAGGACAGGTTTATGTGTTTTAATAAAGGTGGCTTCCAAAATATAGAGATGAAAGGTTGACAGACCATTTGCAATAATTTTAAACCTGCTATCCGTGTAGTTGTCAGCACAAGTCGGATTCACTAGCAAATGCTGACCAATCGCTGATTCACATTTTGGAGGTAGAACTTTTGTTTTACAGGCGCAACATGGTAAATTATTTTCTTTCACACTCTTAGTTCTTATGGATGTGGGTACATGTTTAATTCTATCCTGCAATTATTGTAAAGTGCGACCTATGTACCGACATTTGCAGTGGCACGAGAATTCATAAATAACCATACTTTTCTCTGTGGTAGGTATCGCATCTTTATATGTTGCAGGCAACAACTTACGTGTGGAATAAGCACAGTAGGGGTTCACTGCAGGAAAACATTTAGTAGTGGCTGTTTTCAATTGTTTTTAAAATTTTGTTGAAATTTTACCAATCCATGGTAGTTTTAGATAAACAGGGCACTTGTTAGGACCAAATTTTGGATCAGTTGAGAAGCTTTGCATTTTCCTTGAAGTAATATGATTGATGACGTTTTCTGGATACCAATTTTCTAGTAAAATAATTTTAAATGTCTTCAATTCGAAATCTAGTTTAGAATTTGAACAGATAACTAGAGCCCGATGGACTAAAGTAGCAATAAGGTTCGTCTTGGGACTGAAAGAATCCCATCATTTGTATTGTCCTGTAAAGGTAGGTTTTCTGTATATACTGGTGAGAAAACGAAAGTCATCTTTTTCAACTAAGACGTCTAGGAACGGTAAAGAGTTATGTTGTTCCTTTTCGAAAGTAAATTTGAGTGCCGAATGCAATGAGTTTATGTTTTGTTAAAAACACTCACATTCCTGCTCTGTTTTAGAAATGGCAAATGTGTCATCTACATATAGTGGAAGTAAACAGCAGGTCTAGTAACTTTGTTGAATAGTTCTTTTTCATGGAAACCAACGAAAATATTGGCTGAGACAAATCCAAGAGGAGAACCCATTGATACATGATATCATTAAAGCTGAATTCTACCAAACGTGTCGCAGCTCAATAAACAGGTCCTTAGGTATTGGAGGGCACTGAACTCCTTCACCATACAAAGTATCTGCACAAATTTTGATGGT